GCTTTAAAATAAATGTCTTGGCTTCAGATAGTTCCAGGACATTTTTCTAAGCATTTTGGAACCGGTTGTCCTAGACAGAAGTAGCGTGGTCTAAAGCCAACAATAATTACAATCAGGTCTTCTGATCTTTCTCCCTGCCTCCCAACCCCCACCACCTTCTTAAACTGCTGTGAAGGGGAAGTGCTTAATGGTGTCCAAAAAAAAGAGGATGGGTGAATGGCATGTTAGCGATGTATTCAGATAGCAGGAATTGAATTGAATTGCCAATGCCGAAGGATGGAAAAACGTTGAACTATATGTAACCTACATGTAGACATAATGGCAATATGGGCAAGAAAGCTAAATTCACCTTAGGAAGGGAGAGATTTAATACATCTGGAGGAAAATAATTAGCAGGCCAGATAATCAATTGCAGAGCACCGCCAGGAAACATCATGTTGAAAGAGGTCAGGGGTGATTACAAACGAGTCTCAATGTCATGAGGCAACAAAAAGTCCAGAGCAACTGGAGGCCAACAGTGCTGCACCCTGACACCTGGGGCCCCCATCGGCCTTGGGATGAGTGTGATGGGTAAGCGCACATCTGGAATACTGAGTACATTTCTTACGCCCCATTAACACAGAGACACCGAAAACCTGGAGGGAGTTCTGAAGCAAATAGCAAGGACTATTAAAAGACTTGAAGGAATAGTTTATAAGGGAAGGATTAAGTCAAAGGGGAATGCCATGGCAATGGGTAGAAAACAGTACAAAATATCCTACAAAGTAAAACAATGAGGAAAGGGCAGGAATGACGTGGGGAGAGGAAACAAAAAACCCCAACAACGAAGTAACTTAAAGTGCAGGAAAAAAAAAAATAAAACTAATTAAGCAGAAAAATGTAAGCCAAATGGAGGAGTTTGTTGCCACAAAACAAATAGTAGTGGGGAAGAAAATATGTAACCTCCGAAGAGATATTTTCAAGGGCACAAGTGCAGAACTCTAGTGTGAGATTTCTTTACACTGCAGAATAGAAAATCATTTACTATAAGACAGGGCCAAAAGGATACTGATAATGGTGACGCTAATAACAATATTAGTTGTAGGATCACTTCACAAGCCCTTGTTTTGTGCCAGGCACTGTTTTCAGTGCTTTACATATGTGTTGATGCATTTAATCCTCGAAACAATCCTGCCACCATTATCGTTATCACCACAGTGGCTTTATAGAAGGGTAGTTGGGGAAGGGAGAAGTTAAGTAACTTGCATGTAGATGGATACCCTAGCAAGTATTAGGGCCAGAATTTGAACCCAAGAAGGCTGGCTCTAGGATTTATATTCTCAATCACTATGCTTTTTGCCTTTTTGGAAAAAAAAAAGAGGAGAGAAAAGTGTGATAAACCCGTAGGGATGAGGAGGAGGCCAAGGAAAGCACGGGGCCTGAGGTTGTTAAGTGCAAGCTTTTTGGAAACAGTCCCTTTGAACGTTAGTGGGGTGTGGCCTTGGTCTGCTGCCTGTGGCTCCAAGTCATACTGCATGTTGTTGGAAAAGGAAAATCATCTTGTGGTTCTATGTGAAAAGGTCAGTTCGTCTCTAAGACAGGAATTCCTCATTAGAAGAATTCCTGCTACACATAGTCAGCCCAGAAAGAAATCCTGAGTCACCTGATGTGAGACCCTTTGACACTTTGCCCTACACTGATCAACCTGCTCAATGCCCCTGACAGAATCCTTAAGCAGTGGGCACTTGGCTGACTGACGACCTGATGGGTTCACTCATTCACAGAGACAACAACTAAACATTCATTCAACACACACACATTGCCATATTTCTCAGACTGGAGTCTAGACTCTTTTAAAAATAATGTAATAAGAAATAACAATTTTGGAAACTCTACAGCTCTATTCTATGAAAATGTTTTGAAGGCCAAATCAGCTTTAAAAAATATAATTTGGCTGAGCGCGGCGGCTCATGCCTGTAATCCCAGCACTCTGGGAGGCCTAGGCAGGTGGATCGATCACCTGAGGTCAGGAGTTCGAGACCAACCTGACCAATATGGTAAAACCCCGTCTCTACTTTAAAAAAAAAGAAAAAAAAAATAGCCTGGTGTGGTGGCATGCACCTGTAGTCCTAGCCACTTGGGAGTCTGAGACAGGAGAATCGCTTGAACCTGGGAGGCAGAGGTTGCAGTGAGCCGAGATTACGCCACTGTACTCTAACCTGGGCAATAGGGTGAAACTCCACCTCAAAAGAATAAATAAGATAATTCAAGCAAAATCACAAATTTTTAAAAGTCTAGACCTAGTAAAGTCCCCAGAATACATTGGGTTCATGAACCCAAGTTCAAGAAACAAAAAGGATGGAGCCCTGAACTGTGTGCAAGGATGGAGAGTGCCTCAGAGACAAGGCAGAGGCAATGTTTGCCCTCAAAAAGCTTATAGTCTAGTAGGTATTCAGCTTCTATATGAATATGACTATACCACAATGGAGAAAGGGAAGATGACATTAGAACCACAAAGACAGTGTTGTGGAATTAAGACAGAGACTGTGAGTGAAATGGCATCTATTCCGGCCTTGATATATAAAGAGGCAAATAAAGAGAATTGCACAAGCAGAAATATAGAGGTGGGAACCAGAGAGCAAATAGAGGAAACATTAGCTGGAGAGAGGGACGATTAACAGAGAAATAGGAGATGGGGTTGGAAAGGGAAGGATTTTGTCCAAACTCAAGGTAACTCTGAGGGCAAGCTAGCAGAGTACAGTTGATTCTGCAGTCAGTAAGGGTTATCTGAGATTGCGAGAAGAGGGTGAAGTAACCAAAGCAGGTCCTTGGGAAGATCTATCAGTGGCAATCGGAGTGGAAAGACCCTCCAGCCTGGCTGGGAAAGTCAGGGAGACTATGAGCATCTGTGGGGGGTGGCAAGTTACCAGGGATGGTGGGAGGGATTTGAGCACTGTTTCCAAGGCACACCCAATAGGGGGTGGCAACTGCCCAGCAAGGGGAGTGCAGGAGCAGGCGGAAACAGAGGAGACTCTGGAGGGCCAAACACAGTTCATGGAGGGTGATTATGCCATTCAGAGGAATGGAGTAAAGCTGAAAGGGAAAACTGGTAATTCCATTTTAGGTAATGGCATTAGGAAGCAAGTAAAACATTCAGATGGAGGAATTCTACAGGTACAGATGCTCCTTGACTTACGATGGGGTCACATCCCCATAAACCCATCATAAGTTGAAAATACGGTAAGTCAAAAGTGCGTTTAATATACCGAACCTACCGAACACCAGAGCTTAACTTAGCCCAGTCTAACTTAAATGTGCTCAGAACACTTATATTAGCCTACAGTTGGGCAAAATCATCGAACACAAAGCCAATAGGCTTGTAATAAAGTACTGAATATCTCATAGGGTTGATTGAGTACTGTCCTGAATGCATACCAATTTTACACCGCTGTAAATGTGAAAATCTTCAATTGAACCATCACAGGTCAGGGACCATCTGTAGTTGTATATCAAAGATAAAAGCAAGCTAACTAGCTATCCCATAGAGACACCAAAATTATGTACATTAAGTTTAAAATTCAGAATGTGTGTTTTCAGACCAATGTCAATAAAGTGCCCCAGTTCTAGAAGTCGTTTCTATTATCCCAAGCCAGTCTTCCAGGAACTACTTTTTTTACCATGGATGTAAGCAAGGGCACCTATAAAATCTGTTTAAGGAAGCCAGGAAATGGCTTTGACATGGAAGGCGTCTGGCAACAGCTTTATAACATCAGAAAAACTAACACTTGCCTACATATGTGTATGTATGTATAGGGATGTGTGTTTGTGTGTACACGCACATATATACATACACGCACATATGCATATACCTATACAGATATATATAAAATAAAGTTTTCTCTGGCCCTTTCTACTTGAAGGGAAAGCTATGTATGTGGCTAGAGTGACCAAACATTTAGGTTTACCCAGAATCGTGCTTGTTTATACCAGATTTTCTGTAATTACAATTACAAATAGCATCCTCTTTCTCTCTCAAAAGTATTCCAATATATTTATGACTACCATTCGGCTAGTTTGTAATGCATTTTTCACTTCAAGAATGAACCCATATTGTTCCTGGAATCCCAGCTTCTTCTTTTCTTCCCGTACCCCTCTCCTGTCATCATCTTTTGCAGAAAACCAAATTTCTACTCACCCTCTCAGAAAGGCCCAGTCGGCCCTGTGACACACTGGTCTTTCTTGGAAGTGACATGACAAAGTTATAAATGTGAAGGCCTTCCAGTGGCTTTTTTAGTGAACTGTGTTGTCTTCACGCCACATATACTTCTACTATACTGTAATTCTATGAAAATTAGTAATCTATATAGTAACTTTATGTTGAGAGAATTTTTATTATCAATAATAGATATATACATTCATAAAATACATGTGACATAAACACCCATTACATACTATACATGTGATATAAAACCTGACCATATCCCATAAAAATGGAGTTTACCACGGTTCCCTGGTTTAGAAAATTTGTACTTTCTGGATATGTAAAAACAAAAACAAGCTTTTCAATAGTGTTTTTATAATTCACAATTCTCAAATAGTAAGTTAGAAAACTTATCACAAGGACTGAACTTTCAGTTCTCCAACACTTGCCCGGTGGTTGCATTCCAAATCTCACGCTACTTCTCTGATTGTTTCATCAACTTGACAAAAGGGCATAGCCTGATTTTACTGCAGTAGGACCATAAGAAGTAAATGCACCCAGAGTGCTGTGATCATTATGATGCTTTCATTGAGCTGTAATCCATGTACTTGGATACGACTTCTATTTATTTTTTAAAAATGTGTTTATGTCACTTTGCCAAAGGATTGGAGTATTACACTAATGTCATTTTGGCATTCACATTACCTAGGCCAACTTTTGTTTTACCATCTCTTTTACAAGTCATAATTTTATACTTATCCATTTATTTAGGATTAATCATTTTACATGAAAAAAAATAATTCTTTTTTCCCCACTGCAGCCTTTTTTGGAAAATACCTCAATGAATATAATGGCAGCTACATCCCCCCTGGGTGGCGAGAATGGCTTGGATTAATCAAGAATTCTCGCTTCTATAATTACACTGTTTGTCGCAATGGCATCAAAGAAAAGCATGGATTTGATTATGCAAAGGTAATTTTCAGGCACTTTTACACTGCATCAATTTACTTTGTGCATAATGGGGAAAAGCCATTTTCAGTGAGTTAAACTATCCACAAGATTGGCTTTCTATGTTCTCACAATGTTAGCATGAGAAATGTTAAGGTAATTTTAAACTCTAGGCAAGGAAAAGACTCTCAAGGAACGCTGCCTTTGTGTAGTGATTTCCCTCATCAGGATGAAAGGCAATCAGGCTTTGATGAAAGTATCATCAAGAAAATCAGAATTCTCTGCTCTGTCTTGTGATAATTTTTGTCCCCCTAGCTGCCCTGGACCCAACCAGGGACTTGTCCACACAATCAAATGTTCATCTTGTACTGTTTTACTTTTCATTGGGACAAAAGTATATTTTGTCTGTGGCTTCAGATTTAGGCACAAGCATAAGAGCAAATAAATATAATAATTAAAGGTTGAAAAACCACATTCCTTGTTTTTACTCCTGTTCTGACCAAGCTTATATGTGACAAGGATACCTGCCCTATCACAGCAAGCGTCCACAAAAGTCTCTAATGCTATCAATTCTAGGATTTTCAAATCGGTTCAGAGAAACTGAAATCAATGTCCTATGGTTCTTTGACAAATGGGTTCTAGTTTTGACTTAAAAATTCACAAAGATTTTGTGATAGCTGACTTAGGTTTAAATTTTTTTCAAATCATAAGAATAAAGGGGAAAATATCTTTGAATTTAGCCTGCTAATTTGCCTAAAATATCCCCTTCCCTTCCAGCCATACCCATCTCTTCTTCATTTATATAAAAGAAGCTGAGAATCTGCTCTATCTAGCAACCTCTCCCAACAGGCTAGATCACTTGGTAGAAATCGGAAGGAGAGAACTTGATTTAATGTTGGCATATTGCTGTCTTTTTGCTTGGCCTGATTTGAGCACAAGGGACTTGGTGGGAGATAAGATGTAAGTCCAGCTCCTTCATACCCTTCAGAAAACAATGAATGCAAATGAATTCATAAACATTGCTAATAGGCTTCCAAACTCATGAAAGTTAAAAGTTAGCATAGACCTTGGAGGCAAATTTGAGCAATATCCTCATTTGCAAAAATGAGAAAAAAGCATTCTAGAGTGGCTCAACCACTCATCCTAGTTCATATCCCCGGCTGTGGATAAAATCATTGCATGCAAATGGTGCAGACCATGTGCACTAATTGTCACTGCTCTCCTTTGCTGTCTGTAGGGATGCTTTTCATGCTCCTTGTTCAAGTTATTAACCTTTCTTTCCCTGTTGTCCTAAAGAGAGCAAAGTAATCAAGATTCTCTCCAAATACTAAATCAGCATAACTTGTTCATTATCACAGCTGATTAAGTGTCAAAGACAACTGTGTCTGAAAAAATATATATATATTTTTTCAGTGAGGAAAAGAATGAAACAGACACCCCCTTGGAAGAGGAAGGAGATAGCCTGTAGAGTTGCCCTAACAATGACATGTGACACACACCATCCCTCTGATACTGCTTTTGCAGCTGTTCTGGTCCTTAAATCTACAACATGTGATTAGCCATGCCTGGGAGCCTTCAACATTTGCAAATATTGCCTAAACACTTACTGAATAAAGTTTATACTGGAGCTCCAAGCCAATGACACACACTTAAAAAAAGCAGGTGGTTTAAGTTTTCATCTTTTCTTTCCTTTTCACTCCATTTCCTCCCTCCCTCTTACAGACCTGCATCAGCCCTCCTGACTGTGGGTTAAGTCATTTTATTAGCAAGTCAGACTCTAATCCCAGCAGCTGTATTGCTTTAGTTGTGCAATTAACACAGTATAATCTGCAGGAAATCAACTGCTCCCTATTCAAGTGTTTCAAGTAAATTAACTGATCAAATGTTACAGCTTTTCCCTGTGCTCCCAGATTTTGGCCATGACTTTGATTAGTGATTATTGTAATTCCCACAGGTGGATTTTTCATTTGAAGAAAATGTATTTTCTTGTGTTTGCGTATTTGTGTGCGTGTGTGTATGTGTGTGTGTGTGTGTTCTGCAACTGTAAATTTGAAGTGGGCGTGGGTGTTTCCTGCCCTTAAAGTAATTAAATTTTTTGCCAAGGAATTACATCAATGAAACCTGAGAATGAAATATGTATCTGGTGTTTCATGTGTTCTAGTGCTTTTATTGCCAGATTAATCATTATCTTGGGCAAACATGACTTGACTTTTTTTCCCCATTGCTAAGTTGTATATTACTTAAAATCCATTTTTCACATGTTAACAAGCTAGCAACCCTAGAAAACAACTGGCAGCTGATTTTCTCTATTATCGAAGATGTTTGGCTGCCTTGGGAGGTGCAGCCTTCCTTCCTGCTGTAGACCTTACCACTTCGTGCAGTGAATTGCTTCTGGGGAAAGCAGTTATTCAAATGTGATCTGATGAATGTCACCTTTTGTAATTTTTGTTTTGTGTCAAATGTATGTTTCAGGACTACTTCACAGACTTAATCACTAACGAGAGCATTAATTACTTCAAAATGTCTAAGAGAATGTATCCCCATAGGCCCGTAATGATGGTGATCAGCCACGCTGCGCCCCACGGCCCCGAGGACTCGGCCCCACAGTTTTCTAAACTGTACCCCAATGCTTCCCAACACATGTAAGTAATAAACTCAACCTGCGACCTGCCGAACATGCCTTTCCCTTTTCTCCTCGCCCCACTCCTCCCCTTTCCCCCATTTCCTTCCACCCTGTGTATCCACAAGGCTTCCTTCATGAAAGGATAACTTAAGTGCAGACCATGGAACAGGCAGAGCCGCTGAGCCTGAAAGAAAGCGCCTTATCTGGGTGGTTTGAGGAGGAATCACATTTCCAGCATTTACAAGTAGCTAAATAGAAAGGAAGAGACGCACATAGAGTGAATGGGGGCAAGTTTTACAAGAGTTTCCTTTCGTTGTCTTAAATAATATTCGTGTGTCTGATCTAATAATAATGATGATCAAATAATATGCTTTTCATAGCTACACAGTGGGGACCCCTGGTCTGGTTATAGAAACATGGGTTTATTTTCCAGGCGAATACTGTAGCAGCTTTGCTGCAGATGTGCAATTAGAATTCCTGCAGAAGGCAACTTAAGTGTCTTGCCCAAGAGGGCTTCTCAGGTCACAGCTTTAAAATAACCTGATTTTTTTTTTTAAAAGAGGCAAGAGTCTTGGAGATGGGGGAAGTGGGAAGGCACAAGGGAGAGGGCTGATGGCATAGGGGGATGAGACAGAACAGAGAGCTGTCGTGTGCCACAGTTCTCACCAGACAAAGGTGGAAAAATCTGGATGCTCTGGCAGCAAAGAACATGATTTTGTTGTTCACTCATTTGACACCATTTCTTCCCAAGCTTTGCCATCAATATTCAGTCTTCCACACAGAGCAGTGGAGTTGGCTCTGTGTCTGCTGAAAGCCTGACCATTAGGGATACAGGGAACAGAAAATTGGTATCTGTTTCCTATATTGTGAAACCTCCAAAATTGGTTCTTAATCTATTTGTACTTAAATATCATCTCTTTTCATCCACACTGGTTATTAGCCAAGATTCCAGGCAGAAAGAACCTTATGAAAATAGATAAGTAACTACTGCAGGCTCTCTAGTTGCTGGTCACTATACATCCCTAGAGTTTTTATAAAATGTTCTTTTTTTTTTTTGAGACAGAGTCTCGCTCTGTCACCCAGGCTGGAGTGCAGTGGTGCAATCTCGGCTCACTGCAACCTCCGCCTCCTGGGTTCAAACAATTCTCCCGCCTCAGGTTTCTGAGGAGCTGGGACTACAGGCGCACATCACCACACCTGGCTAATTTTGTATATTTTTAGTAGAGATGCAGTTCCACCATGTTGGCTAGGCTGGTCTCAAACTCCCCTGACCTCAAATGATCCACCCACTTTGGCCTCCCAAAGTGCTGGGATTACAGGCATGAGCCACCGCGCCCAGTCTTATAAAATATTTTTATTTGTACCTCATTGTAACTAATTGACTTATGACTCTTGGTCAGTGATACATAGATCATCTCTATATCACGTGACTTAGACTAGAAAGAAGGAGGCCAGAGCTGACTCAGGACAAGAACTAACAATATGAAGCCAGGGTGGGTAACCTACTGAGCATGCCCAGGAACTCAGAGGATGGAGGTGTTTTTTTGTTTGTTTGTTTTTGGATTTTTGTTTTCTGAGACAGTTTCGCTCTGTTGCCCAGACTGGAGTTCAATGGCGCGATCTTGGCTCACTGCAAGCTCCACCTCCCGGGTTCCACGCCATTCTCCTGCCTCAGCCTCCCACGTAGGCGGGACTACAGGCACCCACCACCATGCCCGGCTAATTTTTTGTATTTTTAGTAGAGACGGGATTTCACCATGTTAGCCACATGGAAGTGTTTTAATGCACAAAATATCATCAACAAATCGTGAAGGTTGCCCCAGCACCTGGGAATATAGCTGGGATAAGCCATTATGTTTTGGAGTCTACTCCATGGGTGGATATTTAAGCTTCTGAAGATCTTCTGCTATATATAACTCTGCAACTAAATTCATGAATGAAGCCCATGTGTGACAAGTGGCTCTCCATTATAGCTCACTTACAAATTTAGTAGCCAACTGATTCTATGAAAGGAAAAAGTCCTGCGGGCTTTTCCAGTACCCCCGAACCCCTCTGTTCCCATTTCTGATGAATCAGAAATCACTTTACCTTTCTTTATTGCATTAGCAGAAACCCAGCCTAAGGTGACTTCCTATAACTGTAAACTTTACAGATGTTCCCCTAAGCTGGAGGAGAAGGGGTTGACAAAACAGAGTGCTTTATGGCTCCTTAAAAGTCAGCCTGCCTTTGAAGCTTTGAGGCAGGGTCCTAAGCCTGCGGGAAAATCAGCCTCAGGTCAACAGGTTCTGAGAGCTCAGTTGCATAGATTCAATATTGCATGAGGGGAGGGCTCTGCAGAGTTCTCAGGGTCTCAGCAATAGCTTTTTGAAAAGCATCTCTCCTTCCAGTAATTAAAAATTCTATTTCATTCCACAAATATTCGTCAGTGCCACATGTGACACTATGCAGTCCAGCAGGGATACAGATAAGCATGAGGAAGACATAGTTGCTGACATTTAAGGACTGGTAAGCTAAGACAGGGGTTGGCACACTGGTACCCACAGTCCAAACCTAGCTTGCCACCAGTTTTTGTTAATAAAATGTTATTGGCACACAGTCATGCTCATTCATTTATGTATTGTCTGTGGCTGCTTTCACAATACAAAAACCAAGTTGAGTAGTTGTGTCAGATACCATACAGCCTGGAAATATTATCTTAGCCTTGATAAAGTGACTTTGCCCCAACCTCTGCTCTAGGGGCAGGATGGGCAAGTATCCCAATGGCGATATCACCAATAGGGCCAGAAGTGGCAAGCACAGAGCAGATATTGGTAGGGCTGTGGAGTGGGGAGGAAGAAGCATTCGTATCTTCAAGGGAAACCAGGAAAACTCATGGACCAAGGCTTTCAAAGTGGGCCTCAAGGATGGGTAAAATTTCTGCAGATGATTGTATAGAGATTGGGTTTCAGGAAGAGAATATGGCAAGGACATGCGGTCACTGTGTAAGGGATGCAATCTAAGATGTGTCCTAGAAACTGCAGAATTGACTACAAAGAAAGCAGCACTAAGGAACAATGCTGCAAAGGGAAACTGTTGCAGAATATTGAGGATGTCAGTGAGTTTGTATGTAACTGCAAGCCGAGAGTCACTGGAGGTTGGGTAGTAACAAAATAGGAGGTGGCTCAGACATTTCCACGTGCAAATAGATTCAGTAGTTCCTTTTTAGTTCAAATGAACCATCTATTGCCCTTATTTAGTGATTCTGTAAAGTAAAATCTACACAGGGCAGAGTGTGGCCTTAGAGGCTAACAAGCCTGGCTTCCTGTCTGAGCTGCCCTCACTAAGTCTATAGGTGCTTTCTTTAATCTCTGGAAACCTCCACTGTCTCATCTGCAAAATGGAGATAATACTAGTACCTTGATGTGATGTCATGAAGAGAAATTAAGAGAGGCAATGTAAGTAAAGTCCCCACATAGAGCCTGGGACATAGAAGCTGCTTCATAAGTGTCAATTCTTATTGATGCTTTCTAGTAAGAAACTACCAACATTCTATCATTCTTGACCTACAAAAGGGCAATTTCATATGGCTCAACTTAAGGTTTAGGGGAAGCAGTGAGAGAAATGACAACTTGATGCTTGTCCATTGTGACATGACATACCTCTTGACAAGCTAAGACTCACATTGTGATGAGCCTCTCACACCTGCCCATTCCAATACAATAGACAGGATAAGGACCAATCTGGACTGTGTTATCTTTTCCAGGTGCAAGTATGTGCTATGGGTAAGTGCCAGTTTGGAGAACTCCCTTAGCCACAGGAAATGAAAATTCATGTGGTTGGTTGAGGGATTCAGCTTCTCTTTGCTGCTAATCCTTGGGTTTTGTGCACCTAGACTGTGGTCTCCTGCATACCCTGAAAGCCTTGAATTCCTGGCATCTTTGCTGTAAAGGTCTCCCTGGTTACTGCTGGAGGAAGGGGCTGGAAGGAGTGAGCATGTGCACAGGTTCAGAGTTCAGTCTTCAGACAAAAGGAGTGAGACAAATTGAAGACAAGCTGCCGACGGTAGTGCATGGAGCTACTCAATGACCAGCTTCCTTAGCGAAAACATTAGCAACACATTCAGGCAAAGGGATGCAAGAAGTTAAGTACTTTGCAGAAATATTTGGCAGGCCCTGTGAACACTGCGTAAGAAACCGTAGGTTCTCCCCAGTTGCAGGGATGCAAGTAACGTGAACACTTTCCTTTTGGTCTTCTTCCTTGGTGGTCAGGCATCATTCGGATCGCTTTCATCTGGCATCGGGTTTTAACTACCTGATCCTCTCAGAACTGGGGCGAATGTATCATCTTTCCAAGGTGTTTGCCGTTCCCAACAAAGAGAGGAAGCCAGTTCGCTATTGGCCTGTTAGCTTTACAAATTGATGGTAGAGTTTATGCTTACCAAGGAAGAGTGAAAAGGGGATTATCGACCACTTGTTGACAGGGAAAATAGTTTAATCAAACAGTAACTCAGCTACTCATAGCCACTGAGAAATCTGAGGAAGCCTCTGTCATAATAACACACATAATAATCCTATTATTAGAAAGCCCTGCACTCTGGCTAAGACTCTACTCTACTTTTCAGTAACTTACTTCCCCAGAACCTCCATAGGGATGCAATTCCTTCACCCCTGCTTTAATGTACTTCTCTCTTCCCGCCTCAGTGATGTCATGATACACACCTGTGGACAAAAGCCGTGACAGGAAGGAGATGCCACTTACCTCCCCGGTGATTCTATAGGAAACTAAGGGACCTCCTTATCACCCTTCTACGAACTATGCCCCTGTCAACTTTGAAAATTTGTTGTTGTTGTTATTCCAATTTCTTTTTTTTTTTTTTTTGAGATGGAGTTTCACTCTTGTTGCATAGGCTGGAGTGCAACAGCATGATCTCGGCTCACCACAACCTCTGCCTCCCGGGTTCAAACCGTTCTCCTGCCTCAGCCTCCTGAGTAGCTGGAATTACAGGCATGCACCACCACGCTCGGCTAATCTTGTATTTTT